ATCTAATAGAAAAGTCAACTAGTAGTAAATAAATAATAATAAATAAAATTCACAAAAATAAGTAAATTATCTTTTTACTCACCAGATTTTTACAGCATATGACATACTTGAAATCTTGTGGCTAATTTTCGAGTATTGGTATCTTCCTCCACGGCGTTTAAATTTTTTTCAAGTTTCTCACTCTCTCAGTTTGTTCGCGTCCAACATTAGGATATTGGCGTTCAAGCTCCCAAAATCTCATAAATGTTGAATGAAGCAATCTTACAAAAATTTTCTTATTCCATACTTATAGGTGCGAATCATCCATCTGATATCGTCTTCTTGCAACAATATCCTTTTCTCCTTACAAAAAGTAGTTTCTCAACTCTATCTTGATTCGTATAGGTACATGTTTTTCATAATACCTATATCACAAATACTTAAAAACGAAAAACTCAAAAATTTGCTGTATGTACCGTCACTAAACACTGAAATAATTAACTCAGGTTATACACATACACTACACAAACACATTGCACAAACTAAAATAAAAATGCAACAAAATGCCAAAATGCCATTGGTATACAGGGTAACGCTTACTATTACCTCTAAAATCTGACCCCCACTTAAAGTTACAGCCCATCATGGTTTAAAAAACTTTTATAAAGGTGTCATATGTGCGTACACGAAAAAAATAATCTTGAAAATCCATATAATTTAGCACGATCCAGTTTCAGATAGTGCTATAATGTTGTTTGAAGACGTGAAAAATATTTATAAATTGTAAGTAATATTATCACTATTTCTATATTTTTAAACAATATCGCACGAAAGTCTGACATAATAGATATCTGTGTTTGTGTGGATTTTTTAATATGTAAATTAACTTGTTGGGGATGAGTGTTCTTAGCCAGATAAATTAGATTAAAAATTTAGTTAATATGTGAACCCACTTAGTACTTACAGTACCTCAAAGTCGTCTAATACAAGTAATAGTATATTATGTTACTAGGAGTAGAAGACGATCATTATGTGTTGAGCCCAAAAGTTTGCTCGCCGAGGCGTTAGCCGAGGCTGAGCAAATTGGGCAAAACACATAATGAGCCTTCCACTCCGAGTGACATATACTATTTTTTCTTCAAGCGTGAATATAAAAAATTACTAATTTTGAAAATTTATAGCGGATAACGCGATGTTCAATCTCAGCACAAAATAAAATCAGTAGGTAGGTAATACTATTTATTTTATACATTTTATACATTTTATTGATTAATTAAACATGACAGTTTTAACCACTTTATTCATGAATAAAAAAACAAATGTAACAATTATTTTTCTTTAATTTGAATTAAACGAATAAACATCTAAATTACCTACATGTCTATCATCAAACTTTATTTATTAACATGAATATTAAATGTGCAATTTTGTATGGTACAGTTGTTGATATTTAAAGCGCTGCTGGCTGTCTTTTTTTCAAAGTTTACAGTTCTGTCGTTGAATACGTTACTTGTAATAAGGTTCTCAGTTTCAGTGTTAACAATTGTACCATTATTAACAGAAAAGTCTTCGATTAAATTATTTTCAGGATCAATATTTACAGTTTCGCTTGATGTACTTGGTTCATTATACTCTAATGGGTTTAATATTTTCATCGCTATCTGTTTCTTATTGTTTACAGAATCTTCAATGTATCCTTCAGCGACGCTGGTAGATTTCCATCCACCATGTCGCTTTAGGGTTGTAATGTCTCCACCATTATCAACTAAGATAGTTGCCGAGGTTCTTCTAAGGCAATGCCCCGTATATTCATGTGGATTTGGCAACCTTAAAAATGATGCAACATCTTTTGGCACTTTTGAAATTTTATGTATGCCCATTACAACACGATGACAATGGCCATTTTGATATTTAATAAAAAATCTATCAAAAGTTATGTCTTTTGGCCGAAGAGTAGCATATTTTCTGTATAAATTTAAATAAAACTCTCCAATTATGGTAAATGAACGATGTTTTTTAGTTTTTGTATTGGGAATATTTACTAATATTATATTTCCCAAATCTTTTACATCATTAACTTTTACTTGAATGAGTTCATCGCATCTACAAGCTCCTGTGACTCCAAATATTAGTGCAACCTAAAAAATATAGAATTATTAATTTTGTAACAATAAAAAAAGTTGGAAAATGCAAGGAAATTCTAAAACATGACGTAATTTTAAGACATCTATATTTATGAGTTTTTACAACATTCTTCCAATGAGCTATCTTTATTTCCGAAAATTGTTTATTATTCTCGTAATGGATACTATAAAATAACTTGAAGTTTACAAATTATAACAAAATTTTGTATTACAAATATAAAAAGGTTAAATATATATCTACCTATAATTTAAAAAGTACATACCTTGGTTGCTAAATATTTATCATCAGGTGCTTTATTCAGGAATTCGTCAAATTCTTTTTTAGACAAAACTTTCGACTTTTTTGGTTTATAATTTTCACCTTGTCGTTTCAAAAATGTAATTAATTTTGAATATTTCTCAATATTTACATTGTGTTCTATGTTTAATTTAGATTTTACCATTGAATATTGCGCCCATAAAGTTGAACTTTTCAGTGTTCTGGATAATCTTGTAAAATATGCTATCATCACATTTTCTGAATAAATATGTGCATTATTTTCTTTTGCCCAATTTATGAATTTATCATAAGCATTTTCATAAATTTTTCTCGACTTTGTTGGTATAAGTGTTGCCACTGATGTATTTGCAATTTCCAGTAATTCTGGTGGTGTGCACTGCATTTCTTCAGACATTTTAAAAACGACCCGACGCGACATCAAATTTCAACTGACACTTAATGAAACGTCAAAGCTTCTTGAATCTTTAATTCGTTGCTAGGATACTTACCTACACATTGTTACATTTTTTTACTAGTTAAAAAATGAAAAATATTTGTACTAGTTAAACAATAGGTTGCTTCTAAAGGAGGTGTTGCACTATATAATATAAGTATTATTATACGCTTGAAGAAAAAAGTTATTTAGTTTACAGAACCCTGATTCTATCTGCACATTTGGACACAGTAAAAACAGTCTTTGTTCAGCAACCGAGGACCTATTTTGGTAGGCTATGCCATATCCATTGTGTTTTGAAGCAGTTCAGATATTCCTGTAGCGTATGCTTTGATGGTCAGTTATATTTGCTTATTCGGATATGACGAGCACTACGAATACGCCTTACTTTTACACTAACCACGTTGTATTTTGAATGCAGTACTGAGATAGAGTCGATACTTCGTTGTATGGGGTGGAAGCAGTGGATCGTAAAAATTCAAAACTGAGCCAAAATAATGCGAGATCGAATTTTTTATTTTCCATTCCGTTGCTTATAAAAATGCGAACGCAATCATGCTGACGCGCGCATCTTATCATTACAATAGACTAAAATATTTAAAAAGCCAGTACATTCAGCGCCGGATTTGAAATTTTCGTTTAATGGTCTAATAACGTAAAGTCAAATTTTTATTAAGACTTAAACGAGGTCAAAAGTGAAAAAGAAAAACTCGGGTCACATACTTTTAACCTATTGTCTAGTTAAAGAGCTACCCAATTATGTGAAAATAGAAACAAAATATACTGATAAATGTATCTTGACGAATGTTGAAAATATGAATAAAATACTAAACTGAATCCTTTCAGACCCCTCTTGCGTAGGTATCGAATTTTGTGACTGAAGGGGTATTTTTAACTTTCAGGACGTGATATCCACATCAAACCTGACATTCCATCAATTATTTAAATTGTTTAAAAGCCAACCGTATAAATATGTACAAGTTTAATAGCCGTATTTTACGGGCATGCAGGTTAATGGCAAGATTATACCTAGATGATAAATATTCATTTTCCCAAAAACTCCGTTGCTTATTGTTAAAAAATACTGAAAAAATACCCAAAAAAATATGTTAGATGTTTTCTCACATAAGATTCTTATACTTTTAATAGTAGTTTTACAGCCAAAGATGCTGATACATGTTTTGACTGAATTAATTGTCATGTGTAATATACAAAATCGTCAATCTATTGATGGTAATAAATTCATGATGAAATAATTGTATGTTCCAGATAAGTAGCCGCAACAATACAATATTCATCAACATACACTGTTTTAGATTCGTTTTCTATCATTTCCACTCTTTATCTTTGTCGTAAAACAAGGTACAGTAGTAACTATTACCCACGTCAGTTCTTAGAAGTTGGTATCAAATGCATGATATTCAAAATTGATCATACACGAAAAAAATGTACTGTACTGTAATAAATAAATAATAATTCTTTGACTGTGTAAAAGTTTACGCGAGGATATCTATTTTTAATATCGAACTCATAAAATGCTTTACAAATTTTCCTTACTCAATTATTTAGCTTGAACTTTCAAATATGGATAAATAGTCGTATGAAACAGAAGCAATCACAACTGTGGCATGCCAGCGTAAATATGTGCATACACAATATAATTATTATGTGGTACTAAACCGAATTGTGAAATTGGATATCGACAAATTCGGCGCTGAAATATTTATGCCGTACCATATATAATTTTATATACATATACGAATCCAGTTGAAATTATTGTTAATAATTAAGTTTACACCACCACTGGTTATTATATGTATGTACCTTTAACAGGCCGTAACCTAATTTCAGTATGCAAATTTTAAAATGGACAGCCATGAATTTGAATCGAGTCAGAGATTGTGACCGACCCCTACTACAATAACGACATATTTTTCTTTGGGAGCCCTGCGAAATACGTATATAGAATTACGTGCAGGCAACTTGATCATCTATAAATCCCTCTAGTCTAAAGGTAATTGCATTTCGAAACCTAGCAAAAACTGATATATACCATATGAGGAAAGAAACGATGAATAGGATTTTAAAATCATTTTACAAGTTGAAAAAATTATAAGGTAAGTAAACTGAAAATTGGTTTCGCTTAATATCCGACTGATACTACTACCTGAGATAATCATGTCGCCTCTCTCGGTGGTCCAGTAGTTGATGGAGGTGGGGAAAGCCTCTGTTCTACACTCCAGGGTGACGTCCTGGCCGATGTAGGCGCCCTCTAGTTGATTGGGGATCGATAGCATTGGGGGAACTGCAAATTGAATAAATCAATTAATACTTGTTGTGACTAGTGTAGGTGCCCGTTTCTTGACACGATTAAAATATGTCACATTAAAATTATTAATTTTTCTCTTTCATTTTCGCTTGCTCGAAAACGGTCTAATTTGAGATATCTTGGAAGAAAATAAATTGTAAGCAAACATTACTAAGTCGCGCCTGAAACTAAGTTCCTGTAGGTATGTAAAAAACATAACATGCAGAGGGTGATCCACAATTATTCTCTTTTCATTGCAATTTACTTCTTTACTATGAAGGTATTTAAATGACTCAAAACGTAGACATATGAACATCATTTTTTAGAAAATACTACCAAAAATCTGATTTTTTTCAGAAAAAGACATTCAGTATTTTTGTCTAATTTTTTATTTCATTGGAAATTTTTCGCCGGTATATGTGAATAATTCTAATTTTGATTATTTCAGATATAAAATTACAAAATTTGTGACATATTCATAATGAAAAATTCTATACAAAATGTACGAGGTTAGTTAAAAATAAGTACTCATGGAATTGACTTCCGGCCAAACTGGAAATCGAACAAATGAAAAAAAACGAAAATTCTGTATATCCTTTTTTCGTCCATATCTATTTAAATTGATTGTCAATTCTTTTTCTGTTTGCATGTTATGATCTTCCGCAAAACTTTTTATGTATCTTGTAATGGGTTTCCTTTTTAAAAGAAATGCACTGGATCTTTATACACTTTTGTTTGAATGAAAATATAAATGTAATTAACGTTCGGACAATTAGTCTCCAAGATGCAAGCATCAATAGTAGATAACTAGTTGAATAAATAGTTTATCGATTCTTAATGGCAATAGACAATGAGAATCAGTAATAATTGTTATTGTTGCTTACTTCCGGAGCATCCCTTGTTTACTTATTTTAGTACACATACTTAAATCAATACCTAATTACTAAGGAATACATCTTATTTTAATATTAACGATATAATACATATGCGTAACATGGAAGGTAGGGTTCATACATTACAGTCTACATTCTGTCCCATTCAAATATCTATATAGCAAAGAAGTAGATTGTAATATAAAGAGAATTGTATCCGGTACATATGCTTGTGGACAATCAAAAACTAAAGTTGTATTCCAGATTTGAATTAAATTACTTTCCAGTAACTGGAAAATACGATTTTTTTTAACTAAAACATCCTGTATTACGAAATGAAGGCACAAGAACTTTTTGTTAATTTAAAACACAAAATCCGTTTTGCCAAGTATTTTACTTATACTCTGTATAAATATTTTGTCTTCAAACAAGAAAAATTAATCAAACACTTGAACGAATGAAATAAACGAATATTACATATGTGAAGTAATATTTTTCAGAATCGTTTAATACAGAAAATTACCAGTCTATTTGGTTAAAGAATATGGGAATCTATCATCATTAATAAATTGATAGTGTACTCATACGATACGATTATAATGTGGATTGGATTACAGCAAGCTCTGTAATGAGGAATATTCAGTTATATACGGTAATTTGTCAAATTTGTCACTAAATATCCTCGGATTGCCATATTTCTCTTGTCCATTTTGCTGATATAATATCGAAAAATATTTTAGTTTGTACCTATACCACCATCAATTACATCCTACAAAACAAAAACTATAATCTCGATAGGATTATATAAGTATATTTTTAAGGATGTTCGATACATCTTTTGCGGGGCAGGCGGTGCGAGAGGGAATCCTATGCTTATACACGGTAGTTTTGTTGTAGTACCAACCTTGCATAAACTAATTTGAGCGAACTAAATATAATATATACGAATGAAATTTATACAACACATATTAGTTTGCATATATTTTTCGTGTTTTGTCAAAACGTTATAGAGGGTGTAACGTAAAGGTTGAGAATAAATTAATCGGTGGATTCTTTAGTTTAAAAAATAAATTTTTGTCATATGAAGTTATGCTCTACGGGTTTTCTTTTCCAAGCTACAGGGCGTTAAAAAATATAAAAAAAATTTCTCCAATAACTTTCGANTATAATATCGAAAAATATTTTAGTTTATACCTATACCACCATCAATTACATCCTACAAAACAAAAACTATCATCTCGATAGGATTATAACGAGCGTTCAAATAAAAACGTGGTCAAGTTGGTTCTGAAAATTTGGACGTAGGGCGTAGCGTGGCCGCGTTCGGTTTCTACCTAACGGAGCAGAGGAAAGTTTCGCAGATTTTTTGTCACGTGACACAAAAGGTCTCGTATTCCTTGTTAATATCCGAACGTTTTGTGATTGCAGATACTTTCCTAACCTATAAAGTTTTCCTTTTATTTATGACCATTAGACTAAACAAATTTACAAATTTAGTTACTCATATGTTTATGACTGATATATTATCATTTTTGCGATTATCTTATGCTGTGCGAAGACAATGGAATTAGTACAATTAGAAGACGGTACACTTTTGCATTTAAATCCCAAAAGTAAGTAAAGGAGACAATAAAATGCGATACATATGATTTTTAGAAAAATTATTTTATAATAAATTGTTGTGTTATTTTAGCTAACTTATATGAAATTGTTGCAATGGAGAGTGAGGTAAATCCCCAAGAAAATAGTGAAGGTAGTAATGTCACTCCAAATAAAAGTGGTCAGTATAAACTAATACAAACGTTATTTTAGTAAAAAATTATTATTTTCCAATAATTAATTAATATATAATTTACAGTTAAATGAGTTAAATCTTCACCAGAAAATGATCTTTTTCAGATACATTGAAAATATGGACGTACAGTAATACCAGTTTCTTAATCGCATTGGTTGAAGAATTTGATCAGGAATTCCAGAAATGTGTTAAAAAGTTAGTGTGGAAAAAAATTTCTGACAGACTTGGTAAGGAAATGAACATTGCAGTAACTGCACAACGTGACACGAAGTGGAAGGGACCCTCACCTCAACCTCTTGCAGCTCTTCAGCACC